AAATGTGGCCCATGTTCGACCGTGATGGACGGGTGGGCTGCAGGACGGCAGTTTGGACGGCCAAGACTTCCTGGCGCGACTGTTTCCCACGACATTCCTTGCTATGTCAAGCGAAAGAAGCTTCCCTCAACCCCGACACCTTCCTGTCCATCCATTTCGGTCATCAACTCCCCGTGGCCGACTGCCGCCATCACATTACGATACTCACATCACGACAACGCGGGCACGTTCGGCGTCGCCGACACGCGCGATGCACTCTAAACTACGCGGCACTTCAACGGTTGACAGCCATCCATTTTTTCTACGACATGAACGAAAACACGCAGGGCCACCACTCGACAAAACCCCACACACTTCGAGCGTACTCCCCCCGCAGTCCAGGAAAAACCACCCCCCGAGACGACGCGGTGTTGCAGCAGCTGCGTGAAATCATTCACCACCAGCAAGTACGGCGTTCGCATGCGCAAACGACATGTTCATTCGCCATCAGATAGACTTGCTTGCCTTGAGTGATATCAGCGACGGTGCTGGGCTCGTTTCCCTCGACGCCGCCACGCAGGTCAGTCTTGTTACCCAGTGCTTCGTTCAACCACGTGACCAGGTGTTGTGGCGAGAGCTCGAGTCGCTGGACCTGCTGACGTTCGTCCAACTGCAGAAGGCCCTGCGACGATTCGCTACGTATGCTTCTGCACATTGATAAGTCTCATGCAGTTGCCGGTCGCAGCGGAAAGGACGGCCGATTGAATCTGAAGAGCGTATGGGACGGCCTGTTTGACTGGTCGCGTCTGCGCAATGTGACATCGCATTCCATGGGTACATCACGGCATGTATCGGCCCATTCGTCCTCATGTGGCGCAGAGGACATGGCGGAATCGTTCGCTCGCTTCACCACGTCTCGTCGGGGGTACCTGCGATGGCACCCTGACTTTCAGCGGGCACTCGACGAAGTACGTTGTGTTCCCCACACAAGATTGCTGGACGGCGCTGTCTAGATGTTTGCCGTGGACTGGATGCCATGGGAGCACCAAGTGCTGTGTCATCGGTTCGGCCTGACCATGCACCATGAGATGTGGATCGATGTCCGAGCGTTCGTCAAGCATCTCGCAAGCTTGCCGCAGGACTTGTGGCCGCTCATCCAAGCCCACTGCGACTACCAAGAGATGGACCCAAACCACAAGGGGTACGTGGACCGTGCCGACCTGAAGCGTTTTCTCGCCCGCGTGCTACATCACAGCCCCACTCCATACGAGGTGAGCTGCCACATTTTCGCTTGACATCCTGTGACTGCGCGGTAGGTGAGCCAAGTGTGGCAGGTATTCCTCCAAGGCGACCCTACCGCAACGGTACTTTAGCAAGCGAGACTACAGAACTCATCGAGGCTTAGGTCATTAAGAAGCAGCACGTGACGGCGGCACTCAAGCGCGGCCTAGTCGGACCCAAGGGGCGACTTGGCTCCACTTAGACCCTTTGTTGGCTAGCAACTCAGAATGAACTTGTCAAACCTAGTCGCAACGACGGTTGGATACCGATGATGGAGCTGGCGCAACAGTCAATCGATTCAAACGTCGTCAAATTACACTCCAATGCGAAGTTCGTCTCGGAGCGACTTGTTGGGGAACCCGCAAAGTGCTGGCTTAAGCGGAATTTGCAATCCATGCCTTGACTGCGTGAATGTGGTCTTGAACTGCCGACTCGCTCGTGCCCCCAGGCACATTCTTGCGCTCGACGCTGGCTTCGAAGTCCCAAATCGCCATCACGTCCGGTTCAAACTTGGGATGCAGCGACTGCAGTTCTGCCAACGTCAAGTCGCTCAGTGCCTTGCCAGCATCTTCGGCGAGTCGCACTGCAGCGCCGGCCACGTGGTGCGTTTCACGGAATGGAACACCACGGCGCACCAAGTACTCGGCCAGATCGGTCGCGAGCATTTCCGTGACTAAGAACCCGCGCATCTTGGCTTCGTTGGGGGTGAGGGTCGCCAGCACCCCCGCGGCGATTTGGATGCAGTCAACCATCGTGTCAATCACGTAAAACAGCGCGCTCTTGTCTTCTTGCAGATCCTTGTTGTACGATCGTGGCATCCCTAGACACCGTGGGTCCATCGAGTCTTTCAATCTGTGGAACCGTTACCTTTGAGGGTGATCATGACTCCATTGAGACGGCCAATGACAGCGCCAGACTTGCCACGGAGGAGCTCCAGAGCATCCGGGTTCTTCTTTTGCGGCATCAAGCTGAATCGCTCACGTCAGGTCGACCTGATGGGATGGATGGTCTACCTGCTCCCAGTGCTGTACGCATCTGCCATTGTGACAAATTTCTAGAAATCATTCGCCGTGATATGGACCACTCTGAGAGAGATGCCTACCAACGTGTTGTAGATGATCAAATCTTCCGACAGTTGCGAAAAGTGAAGCATTGTCATGGAAGCCCAAAACAAGAATTCGACGATAAAATCGCGGTCTCCGACGGCATCCTGTTCAAGCCCACAACGTCAGCACCGGGGGAATTAAAGAAACATCCTGCGTACCAGGCTGTTGGGTGAAATGCGAGCAAAGTTCAATTCCTTGGCAAGCAGAGCCCGGTCGATGCCGAAAGAATTGCCTGCCAACGCCCCGCTACCCAAAGGCAACACGTCGACGCGCTTGAACAGATCCTCAAGGCGCTCAGCATCTCGCTGCAATGCAGCGACGTGGGACATCACCCAGTGGGCGAATCGGATCGGTTGCGCTGGTTGAAGATGGGTGAACCCTGGCATGAGCAACGCAATGTTGCTTTCGGCAAGTTGTGTGGCAACACCAATGAGTTCCTTGAGTTGATGCGAGAGCCCTGTGATAGCATCCTTCAAGTAAATACGCACGTCCGTTGCGACTTGGTCATTTCTGCTTCGACCCGTGTGAAGTTTCCCTCCCGCACTGCCAATTAACTCGGTGAGGCGGCGTTCGTTCGCCGTGTGGATATCTTCGTCGCCGGGAACAGTGGCAAACGTTCCGTTTTCCCACTCGTGGTACACTTGGTTCAATCCGCCTTGAATTGCAGCATTTTCTTCGGTCGAGATCACTTCCGCAGCATGTAACGCCGACGCATACGCCTTGCTTCCTCGGATGTCGGCTGCCCACATTCGCTTGTCTACGCTCAAGCTTTCGTTGAACTTATTCATGACAGGGTCGATCTCGCCGCTAAACCGTCCGCCCCAGAGTTTCTTGCCGCCCGATGCGTGTTCCATAGGTTGAAGATTGCAAATTGGAAAATGACCACGAGTGCGACATCCTTCCGAAATATATATTCGGGGTACTTTTATCCGGACCCGGATAAAATTCCACGCGCCAATTGGTTCGTCTTGTCTATCGGGCTTTGAATATTTGCCAAATATTTGAAGACTTTTGGTCGAGTTTCATCATTGGGCTCTTAATATTTTGCGAATTTCCACCAAACGACGAATCAGCGCGAATTGCTGGCGTGCTTGAGCGCGGCCTTCACCTTGAGCAACCGATTGAGCTCCGAGAGGGACTGGAGCGAGTCTAAGGCGACGAGGTTGACAACAAATATGGAGTAGGCACATGCCTTGCTCTAGCGCAGAGTTGTTCCCTTGAGTCTCGAGTGTAGTCAATAGCGCTGCAACTGGATGCTCGACAACGGGTGGAGCACGATGGGGTGCCACCGGCTGTGGCGGTGGGGCGACTCTGCTTCGCTTCTTGCTCCCTTTGTCGTCGCTCCTGCACATCCACTGTCACTCATCCAAAAATCATGTCATCGAAGATAAGTTGGATGTACTTGTTGTGAAGCAGATGGCGCAGCTCGCTGATCTACAAGGCGCTGACGGTCGGAGACGGACACATGGGCCGCTTACGTACCGAAAGCATTCCAGTTTCACGCTTCTTCTCGGAGGCATTGGTGGCGGTGGGAGCTGCTTCTTGTGTCGTGGCAGGCCGTAGAGCTCCCTACTCATGGATCGCGTTGTCGTAAGGTCGAACGAGGTGCATCTGTACTTGGGATCGGATCGGCTTCATGCATCTTCTCATGACATCATCGATGCGGTCCTGACGAGGAGGCACGAGGTCGACGACGCAGTCGTCTTCGGGGCCTTTTCCCACGACCAAGTACTCGAGCACTTCGATGCGCTACAGCGTTGTCAGGAGTCGTGCATTCGGCATCCATGGCCACCTCGCGCAAAGACTGGTTTTCCAAGTTGAGGCAACGGTTTTCAGTCCGCAGAGCATTCATCGCTTGCGTGACGGTGTCGACTTCTGAGCGGAGGTGGCGCTCGTTCTGCAGCACTCAGAGATCGAGTGGAGAAGTGGTGGAGTCGATCGACCTACCTCATAAATGCTCTTGATGAATTGAACGTTGTCAATCACGTTCAACTTGAGCTGTTTGTCGCCAGCGGCGATGAGGGCTGCCGGCGGCGCCACTGAGCTGACGGACGGAGGCAACGGAGGGATGGCTGCTTCCGTTTGGTTGTTGGGTGGCGGTCGTGGAATGCAATGCCCTGGGGTTTCTGAGGCTTGTGTCGCTGTGGGAGGTTGTATCGACGTGAGGTCATTGTCGTGACTGGCCGGAGGAGCGCCGCGTTTGTCTGGAACTGTTTTGTCATTGGAACCTTCCTGCGCTGCACCAAGCTCGCCCATGTGGAGAATCACTTGCTGCGCCTACGAGCCATCCATCGAGTCGTGTGCATAGCTTCAGTTCAACCCTTACCTGGGCCAATTGCGCTTTGAGGCTAGCAATTTCTGCACGAAGCTTTTGAATGAGCTGGATCTTGGGGTCTTCGTTCTTGACGGGTTTGTTTGAGATGGCCTGGCGCACCAACCACGTAAGCATGGCTAGCCACCGTTGTCGCGGGTTATTCGGGGGGCGAGCTCACCTGAGCTTTCGCTGCATACACAAGGGTACTGACGTTCTCGTCCACGTACGCATCGCATGGCGAAAGGCATGCGATCATGAGCGTGATGCTGTTGCCTCCGAGACTATTCTCACCGATGTTGTCAAGTTCAGTCGAGGGCGTTCAAGCGTCATGCATGGCCGACCTGTGTTTGAGCAATGCCGTCAGCTTGGAGTCTCGGTATGGCACGTGGGCCAGTTTGGCGTCGCCCGTCGGCTTCGTGGACTCGTCGCTAAGGGTTTGAATGACCTGGCGCAGAACGAACAGCGACTTGTTGATGCCGATCGACTCTTGCAGCGTGACCCCTGCAAGTCGGTCAAGTTGGAAGCATGGCCGAACGCTGGAGTACCTGTCGCCCCCGTCTTGACGACGCGTTCCGACCCCGCCAAGTCAACTACGCACGTCATGAGCGCATGACGCCGCTGGCAGCATGATGTACCGAGGGACAGCTTGGCTTTGATGACGTCGTCAGGGTTGGCTGGGTCCATACTCTCCACGTACAGCGTGTAGATGCAGTGCGACCTGGACGAAGCCGCGTTCAAGTTGTGCGTCGCCATGATCTTTTGCTTGACACCGTCGTGGAATCGCGCGAACATCTACATGCGATCACGCGCGCGCGCCCGTTCTCGTGGACTCACCTCGTTCGCCGAGCTGCACGCTGCCATGACCAAGTTCTCGACGTAAAACTCTTCGTTGGACGCCCACCGCAGCCGCAGCGGTTTGGCTCGTTGCAACGTCGAGGGATTCAGGAGGTCCAAAATCTATGGACACTCTCGATGGAACGCGTCGACGTGCGGCGGCAGCACCTGCTCGTTGTAAATTTGGACAAACGAACACTGGACACTGTACTCGCGCTTCTACAAAGCGTCATGTCGGTGCAGCAACGCCACGTTCGAGAACGTTGACTACCGTATTCAGCGACGCTGCCGCGATCGCATCAAACAGACCCGAGATCACGCGCGGCACGATCTATGTCGGCTCGGTGACTAGCCGCCGAAGAGGACGAGCGCACCCCGAGTCGACTGGTCGTTACGTCGACGTTGGGTTTGGCTTGGACGCGGTCCGTGGTCGACCGGAGCGGGTTTTTCTGCAGAGCATCCATCCCTTGTGATGGCCATGCCATCGCAAGACCAAACACGTCACCTCGTACTCGTACCCTTCCATCGTGAACGTCTTGCCGGACCCGGTTTGACCATAAGCAAAGATGGTCGCGTGAAAACTACAAGCCATCGCGTGGACCGCTTCAGCCAGTGGAGGCTTCGTACCCGTCCAACACGCTCTTGAGCATGGCCGCGATGCCGGTGCCGTCGAACAGCGCGTCCTGCGACGTGGACGAAGTGTACACTTGGTCAAATGCAAACGATTTCGTGGCGTCGGACGCGATCCGAACTGTTTTGGTCGTTGGGTCGGCCACCAACGTCCCTGTCGTATGGGCTTTCTCGGATGGCAGCGGAGGCCGCACCCGGACAACGACGCGGATCTACAAGATCGTGAGAGTCGTCCAGTGCGTCCGCCACCCAAGAAAGCAATGGGGGGCATCAACTACTTCACTCGTGCCTTGCTCATGGCCGCGGCGGTCGGACGTTACACGAAGCAGTTATCTCCGGCACACGTCACCATGTAATAATGCATCCCATGCAGACACCGACATGCCGCGCTGGCAGCTCATGGAGCACGCACAATGATAGCCTTTTATTGCCAGGGTTTATGAGGCATAGATAGACTTGACGGCGTCTTGGAGAACTGACACGATCTCAGCGACGTCGCAATACGGGGGGAAGCTCAACCGGGTGAGTTCAACGCCACCGACAAGCTGCTTCGCTTTGTCTTCTGCTTTGATCGCGCCTTGGGTCGATGTGGACGGGACCGTGCAGTACACCTTGCCATTGTCTTGCCCAAACGATACGCACGGCTTGAACGACTTGTGCTTTGTCAACAGGTCCACGAATCGCTGGGCAATCGCGTAGTTGGTCTCGGCGTCCGCGTTGGGAAGCGGAGGCAAGTTGAACGAGTAGGTCGACGTCGTGAAGCCTTGGGCGGCATGTTCGGGCGACACAAACGCCAGTTCCATCGCATATCCGTTGGCGTACTTCGCGACGGCAGCTTGCAGAGCCTTCCCCGTCGTCACGGCCACTTCGTACGCCTTTTGGCAACGGTCTTCGACGCCAGTGTGGTTTTCCGTGAGGCGCCACAGCTGATCGGTCTTGGCAGTCGTGTCCAAAAGCTGGCCAGCCCATCGTACCGTTTCGAGGAGCTGGCGGGATTTTGCAGACGACGAGTTGGCGATGATCGTGCCGGCCGTCGTGTGGCCCCGGGATACACTCTTGCTCATGCTGATGAAGACCATGGTCGTGAGGTCGGGGGCGACGGCAGACATCTTTTGCATGACCTTGGATGCAGGGGCGAAGGTCGTGTCCACGAGCAAGAGCACTTCTTTACCCGTGGCATTGCGGTACGACGTCAGGTGCTGGGCGAGAGTCGCCATGTCGGGCACTTTCATGTCGGGGTTGGTGGGAATTTCGACAAAGAGAACGGTGGTCGGGGCCGTCGCGGTCGTTTGGAGACCGTCTAGAGCGCGTTTGATCGAGTCGGAGATTTCATTCTTTCCTGTGATGTCGAATGTCCACTTGTGGAACTTGCCCGCCGACTTGTTGACGTAAATATCAGTCAGTTGAGACGACCCGCCGTACGCAGTGCTCGCCATGAGAATGTCGGCACCACCGCCGTGCAGGAGGCTCAGCCACATCGAGCACACCGCGGGTAAACCGGCCGTGAACACGACAGGGTTCGAGTGGGGGTCCGCAGACGTCCCAGACATAGTCTGCAAGTGCGCGAAGAATTCGGAAAGGGCTTCAGGGGTGGAAGCATCGCCGTCGGCCGTGACTTTGACACCAGCAATGGTTTGGAGGTGCTTTTCGCACACGGGGGTGGTGAGCGGTGTGGACAGTCGCTTGCGAATGACCAAAATGTCATCTGGGTTTACTTTGGCGACGTTGTGGATGTAAAGAACGGATTCAGGAGTTACAATTGCGTCGACAGCGGATGACACCTTCTTCGGGGACACTTGGTACGCTACCACGACGGCGGAGGCATCCGCGATGGGGTGGCCCGACACAATCGTGACGTTAGCGCCAAGGAGAGAAAGGGCAGTCAATTGTTCCGAGTTGAATGGAGACGCGACTCCTTCATCCACGTACAAGAACACGGGCGCCTTTGCTGTGAGGAGGACAGCGATGATGGGCATCGTAGTGGAACCAAAGGTAAAGACCTGGCGGGTAGGAATCGACACTTCAAGGCCTAGGAAAAGTTCCAGCAGCACGGAAATGTTTGTTGAAACACGAAGGTAGTCTTCCGCGTTGCCCAGCGCCGTCAATTCGCCTTCCGTGACGATCGTGTCGCGTTTGGCGTGCTTTTCGAGGAGGAGCTTTTCGATGCCGGCCGAAAACACTTCACGACCCAAGAGGGCCGAGTTCTTAAAGGTCGTGCCTCGCCATTCATGCGGCAGATTTGCGAGGATCGAAGGAAGGAAGGTGTTTGCGATGGCGGAAGTGAGCACTGTCATCTCTGGCGCTGGTTGGAAACTGCCGGCCACCCAGCAGACGCGCGGAGTCTATTTTTAATTCAAATTTGATTGGTGGAAAGACAGCCAATGAGAGAACTCATAGTGATGAGGTGTCGGGAACGAGAGAAAATTCCCTTAATCGAGTATATTCGTCCCAATCTCTCAAATTACATGATTCGGAATATATATTTTGGAAAAGGGAACTCGGGGGCATTCGTGAGGGGATGATCCGCGGAAATGTCGCGTGAGACAAATGGGCAAACGTGATGGCACCGAAGTTGACGGGGTCGAGACGAGCCGAGCAGGCCAACAAGAGGCGCGGCTCGAGGTCCGTCAGGGTTGAAGTAGGTGCGACGGGTCTGATGCGGCCAGAGGAAGGGAAAGGGTCAGAACACTGCACCCATGGAATTTCGAGGTGGCCGTTGAAGCCGCGGAGGCAGTTGAAGTACAAAAGGTGGATAGGTCAATTCTCGAACGGCGGGCAGGTCGTCCACTGGACTGTGTCACTCGTTGTCGAGGCCAAAGCTCCCTGTTCAAGACTGTTCAAGATAGAGATACGACGCCGCGCGAGAGCGACGGATCCCCCTGGCCTTGCGTGGTGATGGGTGAATCTCGCCAGGCGGCGTGGTTGTCCAATATCCCACTATAGACAACGCCATAGCCATCGCGCCTGATCCAACCGCCCATTTAGAGTAATCTCGTCGGGACAGGGCCTTCTCGGGACGCATGCGCCATCGAACAGCTCGAGTAAACTCCCCACGACAATGTACGCGCTAGATGCGCCTGCGACCTGTAAAACCAGTGATTTGTCCTAGGCAAGTGAAGCGCGCTCCGTGGTCATGCATATCCGACTTTCAAACCAATGCCTTTGTTCATGCTTTGGAATCGCCGGTGGAAGGAAACATGTTCTGTGCGTCGGTGCTGACGCTCGTGACAGAGCGACAGTCGTGAACCTCAAATAAAGGAATACTACGTAGTACCTCGGTTTTCGAGGATGTTCACTTGGGCCAATGGTGGACCGGTCCCGATGAACCGTGCATTATCCGGTTGCGTTATCCGGACTACCAGAGAAGTAGAGCAAGATTTGGTCATGCAAAATGCAGAAACAGCGGGGCCATCGACGTCGGGCGACGGCCACCTTATGAGAGACGCCAAGTTGCTTGCGGCCAACTATGAGAAGTGCATTGCCTTGCGCATTCTGCTGCAGGACATCAGCGCCACTATGAGCATGCGCATTCAAGCCATTGAGTCTTCCCTTGGCGTCAGTGAAGTGGCACTTGAAGCCCAAGATGCTGCTGTTCTCAACATGGTTCAAGCCCATGAGCAGGTAAGATAGTAACCTCGAAGGAACCAGTACAAGTTGAATACGTAGGTGGAAGAAGAACTCAATGCCATCTTTGCAGTGCTCCAACATCACCGGGTCGATCCAGCTCTGGTGAGCGATCTCAACAGCATATCAAAGCTGACGCGCAGTGTGAAGATATCAGGGGAGGCAAAGAAGACTCTCTTCGACTTTATTGATGCCGACACAGTCATGGACCTCCAGCGCCAAGCAAAGACTCACATTCACAGGTGTGCATGCTCAATTCCCATCCAACACCTCCATCAACCCCACGCTGACTGGGCCCATGGAAGACTTGTCGACTCCCGGCGACGAAACGCCGACTCGGTCAACGCACTGCGATCAACCGTGCTATTCTATCAAGGTCTCGACTTCAACAAGATGGTGCCTCGATCTGCTCCTGAACACTCGGTGTGGGAGGCGCTCGGAGACGTTTGCCAGAGCGTCCAGGAAGAAGTATACGAGCTCAAGCTTCGCCATGTACCTGGCTGTCGTGAACGCTGCTTTACTCACTGTCCCGTAGACCTCGCTGCAAGAAATGTGTCGTTCCAACATCTCGTATGAATATGCAGTCACCACCGCGATATCTAATGTATGATCAGGGACGCCCAACGGAATATGGACGAGTCTTCAGCGATGGTCCAGTCTAGCACTGCCGCAGTCCACCAACTGACTGAGCTTTATGACGTGGCGGTCTGTCCGTTTGGAACTCTTTCAACTCATCTCATGACCAAGTAGCTCATGTACTTTGTCGACATGGAGCAGTGCGACCGCCGCGTCCTCCACACATTTTCCACCATGCACGACGTGAGTCAGATGTACGACGTCGCCCTCGTCGAGTGCCACGCCCTCCTCGACGAGCTGTCCAACTTGCTTCGGTTTTACCAGCGGTTTGTCGGCGCGTACGTGGCCCTGCCATTGGAAATGCAGCGCCGCAGAGAGTACGATGCGACCACCCGCCGCATGGTGAGTTCCAAACGATGCCAGTCGGCAAGCAGCCAACAAAGTATCGATATGTGTGCAGGTGGCAGAGCTGCAAGAGCGACTGACCGCACTTGAAGCCACCGAGCGCCAACACCGATCAGCTTTTGCAGACGAACATGCCCAGTTCCTTCCCGCGTCGCTTTGTCCTTCGATCAAGGTGCGAAGACTTCCACGACCGAGCTGCGCTGACTTGATGGCGTTAGGATGCTCCGTACAGACCCACCCTTGTCATGGACCCACCGCCATCGTCGCATGAGTGCAACCAAGGCTAACCAATACAGTCTTGTGCTCTACCTCGCACCCTTTCTGCCCACAGAGTCATGCGGCTGACGCTGTTCTGCATCTGAAGGATGCTCGAGTCCGACTTTGTACGTGCTGGTTGTGAAGGGTGTGCAATGCTGTCGCCCGAGTTGTCGCTGTGACGACGCTAGCCGTTGCATAGTGCGAGACGATGCAAAAAGAGTTTTGAGAAAACCGGAGGGAGGTCGAGGACATTAGCGCGAAGATCTCGGTCGACGGAGGGGTCCTCACATGGTGACGTCGATGGCAACTTCGCGCACCGGTAAAGACAATCCCTGCGTACGCATTACTTCTGCACCTACACCCGTGCCAAATGACTATATTCGACGACGGCAGCCATCGAGGCTGACATAATACTGTAGACCCTGAAACTTGAAAGCAAAGCAATCACGTGGTGCGATGGAGTAAAGATCGCCACGTTATGGTCCCTTGGCGCTGTCGGTCGCGCCATTCTCTTTGCCACTGCGCCACACCTTGGCCTTGAGTTCGTCGTAGGTGAGGGGGTACTCTTCTTCCGCGTTCTCCTTCTTGTGCATCTCCGTCAACGTCAAAGTTGGAGGTCGCACGCCCATGTATCGATATGGCTGTTCGGTCTTGCCGAGTATGGACGGGTCTGACGTACTCGGGATTGAATTCGTGCCGTTCATGAGCGACGGCGAGGCCGCGACTTCCGGCATCGCATGTTTCCGCGCTGCTTTTGCGTGCATGGTGTAAATGATCTCGGCCATCTTGTGCTCGACTTCTCCGAGGATGCCTCGCAAGCTCTTTTCATCTGCACGGCACGGCAGGGATTGTATGAGATTCCATTGCCCTGACCACGACCTCGAATCCGATCTCACCTTGGTTCTCTTTGCAGCCGATGCGCACGTGGAGCGCCATGAGCGCTGGCTTGAGAATCGACATCGTGTGTTGGATTTCGTTGGTCTTTTCCACCAAGTGGGCTTCTTGCTCTTGCGACCTCTACGACCCCCGTCCTGTGAACACATTTGAAAGGACAAAACCCATTCCAACCTCTTTTCGGGACTTGAGTGTTTTCGTGCGGTGTAGTTTTTGGACGTCGACGGCATCGTTGCGCAGTTTCATCCTGGGTGGCGCTGCTACGTCAGCGAAGGGCACACGCACCAATGTGGACGTACTTGCCAATTTCTTCGCGGAGCTTGGAGCATTGCGTCCGATGCGTCTCGATGTCGTCAGCAAGCTGGTTCACATACTGGATCTTGGCAAAATGCTCGACTTCTTGCGTGTTGAACGCCTCGATCAACTCCATGACGGTCTTGGTCCCTGCGTCATTTGTACAGTTTTACGCAACGCCTAGAGACGATGATAGCTTTGTACCAGACACTTGGTGAATGCGCTCAATGAATTCGCGGTTCTCGTTGTACTTGCGAACAGAAATGTCGGACGTGACCTTTTCCTGAATGATTTTCCACCTGCTCCTGGTGATCTTGGACTTGTTGAGCTTCTCTTCGATCAGTGTCGAGTCAGCGCCGGGCGACAGATACTTTTTCGGTGAAATCATGTTGGCATCGTCCATCGAGTTGGTCATGCTCTCTGCCGCTTGGTTCTTGAGCTCCTGCAAACGAACTTGAGTTCCTTCAAAGCGAAATCGCATGACGTACTTGGAGGATCTCTGCCGCCTTGGCATCGCACACAATTTCACAAGCCGCTGCATCTTTCTTGAGCGCTTCGATGGCGGCGATTTGGTCTTGCACGGCCAGGCGCAGGTTCTCCACGATTTTCATCTGTGTGGCACGTTTGGTCAATGGCACCTTGATCGATTCCAAAAGTTGAGCGCACCTCCGTATCAATCCTTGCCTTGGCATCTAGGGTGTTCATTTCGAGCGTCGAGTACAGGACATCCGCGGTCGCGCGCTCGGCCCGCTTGATGTCAAGCGTTTTGCGCAGTTGCTTGTTGCCGGCGAGCTTTTCGTTGAACTTGATCATTTTCCGGTCGATTTCTGTCTCCATTTTCCTGGCAGGAACGGCATCATGTCCTTGGTAAATGAAACGTGCGAACGTACTTGATCTTGGTCACGAGAGACGCTTCGTTCATCTCGAGCACGATGCCATTCCCGAGCGACAACTTTTGCTCGGCCAGAGTCCGCTCGCAGTCTTGGATTGCCAAGTCGTACTGCGCGATCTTGCGGCGCTCGACCTCGATCATTTTGGTGAATTTGTTGCCTACGAAGGACGGTAGCGTTGGTGGAGCAGAGGCCGCGTATGCCTACCTTCCATTTGAATATGGGACAACTCTTGGGCAGATGCTTCATTGTAGAACGGGTCGGTTCGCATGTTACGCGCATCAAAGTCAAGCTATCATGATAGTTTGCGCATCCCATCCCTGTTGCCGTTCGTCAAGAACTACCTCTGCGGCGAGCTGCTTATTCTTCTCCTGCAAGTCTTGAACCTGCTTGCCGTACTCGGACAGCGTCTTGGACACCTCTTCACTGTGTCTTCTTCCGTCATCTCGCACCAGCACCAACAACTCATGATCCAGCGACGTCGGCTTCACCATGCTCTTACCGCGCAAACCCCAAGGAATGACGAAACGGCGCGTGCAACTGCCATGTTATCCGGATTCGACAAGGTAATTCCACAGTTTTCAAATGCCATCAACTACAACGAGGCCCGACAGGAGCTTCCAGGCAGCGCCAAGCACGCAGGTACTGCGCATTCACGAACGCATTCGCCTCCAGTTCGAAAGCCTTCGTCGCACACAGGCGCGCACGTGGCTGGGCACGACTCTGGCTGGTTGGTGCAACACGGATTGTCGTGGATTGTAAACACCTTGAACGCGTGCGGCGGCGTGGGACACTCTGCAAGTTGGTTCGACGACAGCGTCAACACAGTGAGACCTGGCAGTGCGATCAATCCCGACGGTATTGACGACAGACTGTTGTTTGCCAGGCGCAGCTGGTACAAGCGACTCCAGAATCCCCACGCAGTCTACACGAAGCTTGGAGAGGACGGGACCGCCACAACTGTTGCAGCGAACGCGCTTACCGGAAGAGGTGGAAGCTCCGCGATGGCATTGCTCGTCACATCAATGATCCCAATCCACTCGAGATGCATGAGCACCGGCGGGAACGTTGTCATGTTGGCCGCCCGAAGGTACAGCATCGTGAGATTCTCCCACGCCGGCAGGATCCAGTCGGGAAAGGTCGCATTGTACAGGTTGTTTCGGTTGAGAGAAATACCAAGGCAGAGCGGGGGCAAACGTTGCAAGGACGTCGGGATTTCCGAGATGCTGTTGGATGAGAACGAGAGGAATCTACAAGCGGACTCGTGGAGTGAATCGCCCAAAGCTCCACGAGACATTCGCCGTACAGCATCCTCGAGTACTGGCTAAAGTCGATCGTGTCGATGGCAGTGGTGTCCAAGCTGCAGTTTTGCAGCTGCAAAATGTACAGCTCTGTGAACCGCGCGATGTGGGGCGGCGGGCGGTACGGCGCGCGCATCGGACAATTTCGAATCGTCAGAAAGTTGAGGAAACTCGCGACTTGGGAGTCGAAGAACGAGTGCATTTCGTCGAAGAAGGCCGACCAATTCGCTAGCACAGGGAAGCATGAGCAAACGCAAAGGAGGACGGCGTCGCACCGCCTGCGGAGTCTTCGAACCCTTTCAAGTTGCAATTGAGATCCAAGACTTGGCAGTGGCACACTTGCCGCGACAGAGGGACAACATGCCACGGTCGGATGTATCTCGCGCATGTCGAGTATGCAGGCATGTCTGCATGCACACAATCCGCCGAGTACGATCGCACACTAATCTACACGACGAGTTGATGCCATGGCACCGTGGTCAGCAGTACCATCGAAACGCCGACGCCAGCACCAACGCTGCACATTGTATAGAGACAGAACACGCCGTAGCGCCATCGAATACGCGCCGCGGCTAGTGGCCGGAACAGTGGAGACGACTGCGGCAGCTCGACAGGGATGTCGGTGGCGCCGGACGCGGCGTCCAGCTAGATCAGGCAGATGAAGCCCAAGTGCGCATATTGAGAATGCAAACCACGATCGTTTGAGCCGATGCCACCCAAGCATCTCGGTTTCCAAGGTCTTGCGTCGAGACTTTGGCCCGGCGCACAACCGGCATGGGCACTTGCAAGAGGGGGATGTTTTCGCGCACGACGCCCACCATTGCACTCGTATAGCGACGAAGCGAGTCGACCCAACCTTTGGGCGACGTCAACATGGGGGTGCCCTGGCCACCTCGTCACGACCACATTCCAATCTCCACCACCACGTACAGAGGCATGGCGCGTGAAGAACGAGTCAATGTTGGCCGTGTGCACGTTTTGCAGAGTCACGTAGAGCAACAGCATCGGCGTCACGGCCGCGATCAAGTCGGCCAACGTCATGATCTACCGAAAAGGTCGTTGGACTGCTTCCGACCCGACTCAGTGCCGTACCAACATTGCCTTGATGACCGAGATCGCGTAGACATCCCATGCTTGGTCGTGGATGATGCTTGGGTCGGACACGAGGTTGTAGATGACTGGAACAGCCAGCGACAGCGGCAGGACGACACCAAGAACCAAGTCGAAGAGAATGATCGTCACGACGAGGCGCTCGCGGAAGACGCGAACTAGGCCAAAGTTGTAGCGGATGCACGCGAAGTTCCACCTACGCATTGGCGTCTCTCAGGTGTGCTCGCGCAAGCACGTGATGGACGAACACGATCCAGGGGGCAACGACGACGCAGTGGAGGCCAAAGACAATGCCATGCGCCATCGTGAGCGGACCGACCAAGAGGGTGCTAACTTTGTAGCCCCGCACGAATTGCATGGGGAGCACGATGCATTCACGGACAAGCAAGCGGACCTCGTAGTGCATACCCCGGCGACTGAACGCCCCCCGAGGCCCAAAATACCTGTCGAATCGCTTCATCAACACACTCATCAACACCACGACATGCCATCGCATGCGAAGATGGAGCGTACTGTCGGTAGAATGTTTCGACCTTGATCTGCACTTGAATCCACTCGGCCTGGCGAGTTCCAAGACGCTTAGTCGATTCGCACTACCTGCCAGCAAACTTACTTTCGCGGACAAGATCGCGACGATGGCAGATCCGCGGACGCCCTGATCTTCATAAGCACGCTTGGTTTGCTGCAACTGATCGTGGACAACGTTCAAATCGGTGCATGCGTTGAAGTGGCTCGTTTGTAGGCGCACGAGGTTGCGTATTCGATCATCGCTCGAGATGCCGCGCGTCGAGGTGACCTGGCGGCGGCTGTGCGCCGTGATCAAGAGCGGCGCGATGTCCTGGAGGTGTTTCGACGTGCGATTCACAACAATGCGCATTGTCCGCATCCGCCACCACCCGCGAAGATGGAGGGTCCCGCACATGGCAAACACGGTCGCTGTGACGATCGGGTCGATGAACCCGAAAAACCGTTGCATGTATGGGAAGATGGACAGCCCGAGGTGCATGAAGCACATGAGGAAGCAGTAGAGACAGCATAGCACTGCGATGAGATCGAGGACATCGGCACGAAGAGCTTGTGGTGGAGCCTTCGTCGACGGAGCGATGCTCGATAGCTGGTGTTGTGGCCACATCGACGGTGCTTGACGCCAGGCTAGAAAAGTGTATTTATATACTACACTGCAACAGGCCAACCCATTGAAACGATAGTACTCATGCTCAGCGATAAGTGGATGCACGTCTCGACCAATGTAGATCCAGGCCACGGTGACCTTGGCGGTCATGCGTTCAGAGCTCAATAAGCGGTTGGGCACGCCCGCAACCTCTATCACGTGAGCGACCGGATCCTCTGCTTTCACCGTCCCGAGGAGCGGCTGGCCTCGACCGACTTCAGCGAAACCGATGGAACGGAATATATGATGGAAGGGTGAAACAAATGCACATATGTCAAATGTCAACCAGCAGGAGGTGCTCTGCCCAGGTATGTGTACGGGGTGTACGGGCGCTGTAGCGTTGAAGCGCCCAGATTCAAGATGACCTGACGATATGCATCGTCGCAAAGCCTGCCATGACGACGCCGCAAGGAAGCAACATCGCCGAATAGTTGTGATGGCCGAGACGGCACCTCCGCCTCTGCTAGTACATCATCTCATACGTATAACGTCATCGAGAGGATTTTCGCGGGTGGAGAGGTGGTGTGCTTCATCTACAGCGAATTCCAACAAGTATGGTGTATGCATCTGACGTACGAGAAACCTAGTGGCTTTGCAAGGTCAAGTAGCTACAACAAGTTTGAGTCCCAGAGGAAGAGTTCTGTGGACATCATACATTGATATGTCTGAGCCATTCTTGCGAGAATTCGAGCGAGGAGCGATCCATGGACCGCACAGGTAGCCTTATTGGCAATGATTGCGTAGGAACCGCAGTCACTCTAGTTTGTTGGATGGGAAACAAGGTAAGGCGTAGCGCAGGCCAACAACGCTGTCTGAGCATTGATCACATGAACTGGTCATACATGCCCTGCTGGGTCATACTTGAACACATACCCTCGAATATCACGAAAGCTGGCAACGCTCGCTATACTAACGACAGTACTTGAAGGCACTCGCCACGGCGCGCCCATCGCCATCCTACGGTGGCAACAAGGAGATGAAACCGCCTTGAAGAATTATCCAATCACAAACCCGACTGAAATGACCAATCATATTCCCCAATGAATTGCATGAGCCAATCACATGACACTACACTAGGACGAAATTAAATGCTTCGTACCCAGGATTTCCGTGTAATAAAATTCCGGTGAAATTGCCGCTTTTGTCGTCTCGTTCGTCGGCCGACGGAATTGGGATCGATGGACGGTCCGAACGACTCGCCGCAGCCACAGGACTCACAGCAGCATGGCTCAGCGCTACATGCAGCTCCAATTGAGGCGCACCAACATGATACTCCAGAGGTTGCCCTTTCTCGTCGTTCGCCCCCTCCAACTGTGCAACCAACCAACGTGCCGATTGCGACAACGTCCCAGTTTCTGAGCCACACGAACACCCCACCGCTATCGAATCCGTCCATACAAGCGCCATCACATCCCACAGTATCGGCTGCATCGCTCTACCAACCGCCGCAAGTCCAACAGCCCAATGGAGGCCAGGTTGCCCGAGCACCGATATCCACTGGAAATGCGCCATCGTCTCAAATGCTCACAGTGCATGTGCCGACGAATTCTCAAGGGCAACAAAGTAGTGCATACACCGTCGCTCCAAATTCGATCAAGGTCGAGAAGCAGCAGCCTGCCAAATCCCGACCGCAGAAGAAAGCGCCAAGTACATCTGCCATAACATTCAATGGGTCGTTCGAAGATGAATGCAAGTCCATGCTGCTCAAGCTTCTCTTTGCGTTCCACGAAGCAAACTCGGCAGAGCAAGTGCTCGTGGCATTGAGCTCGCTGTTCACGTGGATCAAATCCCAAACGTACAACCCGTTGACGCCCGCGGCGGCTGACACAACGCGGACTTCAACTCTGATTTCACTGCCTCTTCTCCGTCACGCCAAGAACGAGTTCGTTCAATGCGCTCAAATCAAGCAACGCCGCCAGCCGTTGGTGTGGTCGCCCAGTGTCGCCCAGGCATATGCGTCGATCCTGCAGCACATGCTTCAATCCATCTCACATCACACAACGCTTCTTCAGCAAGCCCAGGCCCAACCGCAGCCCCTCGCAACGGGAGCAACTGCCACGTACCACCGACCCCCATCTCCCGCCCTATCCCAAAGCAAACACGCGCCACTGCCATCCCCGAACAAGCCGCCGCTGGAAGGGCTCCCCCAACAACTCCAACAGCGCATGCACATGAACTTGTCGCAGGCCCACGCGCAGTTCTCTCGCCAACAGATGCAGCAACAAAAGCCTCCTGTCGTGAAGCCGCGGAAACGGGAGCCCAAGCTCCAGACCCCGAAACCATCGGTGCACCATGCTCTTCCGACGCCGTCGCCACGACTGTCGCCACTGCCGACTTCGGCCAACGAGTACTATGTCGACATGACTCTCCGCACGGCGCAGTCTGGCGGCGACGACGACCAGCTGTACGTGCCTCAACGCAACATCACCAAAGTCATGCGCGCGGTGCTGCCGCAAGAGACGAAAGTCAAGATTGCCGACGACGCCAAAGGTTTGTTTCCATTCTGTTTTGATTGTTCTCACGGAAGATGTAGAGTTGATCCAGGAGTGCGTGACCGAGTTTATGCTGTACTTGACGAGCGAGACAAGGGACCAGGCTGCCCTGCACAAGCGCAACAAGATCGCTCTGACTGGGCAGGATGCGATCAAGGCCATGTACAATCTCGGGTACGGCACTTGTGTTCCAACAGTCTGAATCGAATGGACGGTCTAGATTCACCACGTATGGGGATGTCCTTGCGATTTACAACGAAAAGATCCTCGCTGTGCAAAAGGAAGCGAGTCGCACCAAGACCGAACGCCGACTAGCGAAACAAAAACGGGCGCTGCCTGGACTACCGCTCGATGCACCATCGATCCCTGCCACCCCAACAAGCACAGATGCTCCAGTGCCAACTCTCTCACCAGAAGTTCCAGACCCCGCACCACCCGTGCAGTGCCCCGTTGCGCAGCCCATACCCCCCCCTTGCCCACCCGAAGAGCGTCCTTTGCAGTCCACACCGTCCCCTTCTCCACTCGAGGAGCGCACTTCGGATATTGCGATGGAATAAAATGCGAATCGTGCACCCAAAAGCGCTTCTTGCACGGTCAAGCGTATGTCCATTGCCGAGCGTGTCGCACGTAGCGAATGCCACCACTTTTGCAGAGCGCTGTGGCACCAGCACACAGCAACACCACGAATCGAGCCCACCACTACGATACACCAAATTAGTCGTTGCCGAGACGAGTTGTCCTCTTGAGTAAGCGGATTTTCGCAATATCCATGGCATGCTTCGATGGTGTTATGGGGACAGCGATCTTGTCACATAGTCTCATGCATGGGCCGCCCTGCACGTCCTCAAATCCATTGGTGTGCAGTTTGCGCACTGAAACGATCGACAAGGAGCAATTGTCGCTATCGTCGCCGTGCATTTCAGTTGGCAAGGCTCTCGCGTCTCGTTCATGGCCATGTATATTCCCCTTAAATTCACTTCGTACACAAAGAATGGTTTCATAGGGATACCTTCGCAGCGTCTCCCCCCGCTGTGTCTTGTCCTTCATGGGGAAGGACCAGAGCAACACAGATTTCCCAGACTGGATCGTGCCTGCGTGGGAGTGCTGCACCCGGCAGTACCTTCGTCGATCCAATCTGCAAATGTTTCCGCCCGTGTTTTTGCGCTTCGAAAGGATTCGTGCCCACAATACGACAGACAATGCGATCACATTCCTCCCTTCAACGAGATTTTCCTGCCGCGGAGATGCCATTTTGCTTTGACAAACAGTGAAAGCAGGTGGCTGGCCTCACCGGACCAAGCGCCAGCTATCAAACAGCAAACTGCAGACTATCCCTGCCGCGTTGATGCAGCCGCCCAACCTTTAAATATTGGCATTGGCGTCGAATGCCTGGCTGAATGCCCTGTTCCCACGCCGTCCTTAGTCAGGTGCTCGAATCAAGACAATCCGTGCAGTGACAGGAGCTATGCCCACCACTCTGCGTCCCTTCCTGCCACGATGCGTACCGCACAGCGTTTGCTCGCGCCCACGAGTGCGCGACGCCCGCGCGTGTTGAGGTGTCCCCTAGTACATGCCAGAGAAGCACCCATTGTTGTGTTGACAACTCACATGTGTGAAATATCAAAGCTAGGTTGCAGTTATCCGGCTTTCTCCGGATATACCTCGTCAAGCACTGTTGAAAATATGCACCAATCACAAGCTTGCACGCTGTGGTTTCTGGCCAATCCGATGTCGTCATGTGGCGGAGCATTGCCACACCGTACCGACGCCACCGCAGACGGAGGCTCGATCGACATGGGATCCTTCCAGGCGTGTGAGACATGCACCGAAGCACCGCCAGCGACCACATCCAACGACGAACAGCTCAACAGGCTTGTGGAGATCACGGACTTGGAAGAAGTTAAAGTTCCGGCCATGGCTGATGAATCAGGAACCAACGCGCAAGGTCCGGTGGTACTTCCAGAAACTCCCAGTGAAGACGACGCTTCCTCACCACAGCCTGTCCTTCCGGACCCTCCTCTTGAGTTCTCAACACCTTCAGACGTTGTTGACGCGAACCAAAGCGACATGTTGGATGAAACCACTGCGATTCCGACCACGTCGCTCGTCGCTGCAGTTGTTTCGGCTGTAGCCAAAGAAGTGGCAGGCCAAACGAAGAATGCCATCGAAGCAGCAACGTCATCACAAGCGCAAGCGTCGCTATTAACAGGCGTATCGGATTCGTCGTCGCAGCTCAAGAAGCCGTTCTCGCTGACATGGGTAGGCCTACCACTTGTACACTGCATCATGTTGGCCGTTGAAGGTCATGTACGACGTCGACGATCCATTTGGCCAGCTCTTGGCGCTTGTCACACTCTCTCCAGTGTACGCCGTTCTTGGTTCCACCGTGCGTCGCTGATGCAGTCGAACAGGTTCATCATGGTCATGTATGCGACGCTGCTCGTCTTCCAGCGGGATCTTCACATCGCGTTCCTTCTCCTCGGTCAGGTGCGACTTATTCTTTCTCAAACCTCGATTCATGTGTGCAGATGTGCAACGAAGTGCTAAACCAAATCCTGAAGCGAACGATTGATCAAAAACGCCCCGACGGTAGCGGACTCCACAACGGAATGCCTTCTGATGCAGTTCCAGGAGCGGATATGGAGGACGCTGGCATGCCATCAGCGCACAGCCAGTTCATGGCGTTCTTCGCCACGTACGTAGTCTTGTACACGTCCAATCGCATGAGCAAGCGCCGAGAATGGGAGCAAAAGCTTGCCATCGTGGGCGTGATCGTACTGGCGCTGCTCGTGTTCGTGTCGCGGTAAGACAACGCGCACGGCTCCATGTCGCTCAAGTGGAGGTCCGTAGCATTCGACTAGGGTACCACAGCATCGCGCAAGTGCTTGTCGGAGCCACCGTCGGTGCTGGCACGGGCATCTTGTGGTACATCTTCATGGAAAACGTACGTCACGACCACCATGAGTGGCCAGTCTCATGCACGGAATAGATTGCCATGCCCATGTTTCCCGCGATTGCGTCATGGGACATCTCTCAGCGCCTCTTCATTCGAGACTGCACCCACATCCCCGATCTCGTTGTTTTTCACCACAGGATGACGCAGCGGGCGGGCGAGGCGCCACCGCCCGTGAACGCCAAATACCACGGCATGTAACTCGCTTAAACAAATACGACTACTTGCTGCCCCGTGCGAACGTCGGTCAGCCGCACGGGTTCAAGTGTGGTGGTGGCCGTTCGCTTGGGTGTTGCTGCTCCCACGGTGGACCGTGCGAGACCAATCTACGTATCCATGTTAAGGCCACAATTGCTGTCGGTGGTGGGTGGACCTGGCAGTGACAAAACACAACGTGAGTGGGAAACGCGCGGCTGAAGCGCTGGCAGACTTGGAGGTAGTCCTGCCAACGAGATGGCGCAGACGGGTCGTGGCCTGCTCGAGACAAGACAAACCAAACGCGCGACGATGCATGGTTTGAACTGGGTTTTGTTTGTTGGAGGATCTCACGAACGACTTGCAGTTCTAAATCGCGGAGGTGTGTCGACGTGGCAGTAGATGGACCGTCATCTAGGGGAACGTGGAAGGCGTGGCAGAGGGCAATTGCGTCGACGTCGCTATGGGCAAGGCACACGAGCCATTCGGTTTCCTCCCATTCCGTCATGTGTTGGTCGAATGCGTCGTTGGATGGAGTCGGGTGCAGCCTGACATAGCCGCGTGCGAGGCATGCTGCAAGCACCCGTCTCGATCGATGAAGATCGGGAAATGGCAAGGGAACGTTGTCAAGCACTTTTGCAAACCATTCTTGAACCGGTTCGGAGATACATGGGCGGCGATGGAAGAGCGCTTGGGCAGCATTCAAGGTGCGACAGACAGGGGCTGGACACCCATGGCGAAACAACACGAGCCGGAACGCGATCGAGTAGCACGCCGTCACAAGGACATCCACAAACGAAACGTTGTCCGAGTGACGATGGTTTGGCGGTCGAATCTCCATGAACGACGGCAACGAATCCACAAGCCGAGAGCACATCGTTGCCATCGAGACACCGCCTTTGGCCGAGAGGTACATGTCAAAATGGTTGCGCTGGTGGTCGTGGGACACGACGGCCACAAAGGAATCGCCCGACACTGTGCGCCACAGTTGTGTTATAAGGTGTCGAATGGCAGCGAGCAGGAGGGGAAGGCCGAACGGATATGCTGAGGGCGGCGGAAATGCATCCAAACGAGTGGCATCAGCGACTACATGAAGGGACAACGCATCTCCAGTAGACAGCAACAACGCTGCAAAGGTCGTGAGGGACAGCGGGGCTGTGGTCAAAACTGTCACAGCGTCGACGTCGGGGACCATGGCCATGACCTGGTCGACACTGCGTCGAAAACATCGTCAGGAGTCTACCATACACACACCCAAGTCAACGTACGTGGTGGCAACGGATGCAGCCGAAAGTAGCACGTGGTGAAACTCAATTTGGCGTTGGGAATAAAACACAACGTCGTTTGCGTCCGACGTGACGAGGACGAGGACTGCGCCCGGTCCAGCCACCCACTCGAGCTCGGAAACAATGGCTGTCTTGTCGCGAATGGCGGCAATGTCGACGACGATGACGACATGGCGACACGTTGAAGCGGCCCACGTGCATGCAGGCATGTCCAGCAGCAGCGGCTTTTTCCACTTGGGACCGT